TACGCAGACGCCCGACAGTGACAACTTTCCAATACAGAGCATTGGTGTGACCCGAAGTTACAGGTTAATCTAAGCCCAACTTAATGAAGATCCGTTACCGTAATGCAAGCCTATTTTTCAAACTTTCGTCGTCCGTGGAATTTGAACCCTAGATCTGCTACTTGGAGAGGGTGACGACTTTACCACTTCACTAAGCCGCCACACCTCTCCGTTTTGTCTTTGCGTTTATGCATTTTCTTCTTTATTTATATAAAGAAGAGACATGTTGTTGTGAAGATGAAGAGGCTTATATCTCGCGATCCACTAAGCCGAGTTTAACGTTTTTACCACTATTTTGATCGCAAGACACTCCTCTACAACTTTACTTAGACCTTGAAAAGAGGTTTATATAGTAAAGAAAAAAGCTTTTTCAAAAACAATAAAAAGTATACCATATATAATATGCAGAGGTTTACTTCGAATTTCGGCCCGAATTAAGCTTAATTTAGGCCGAAATTCAAAACTATATCATTTGTGTTCTTTTGAACCCAATTTAGGTTCGGTTTAACCCAATTTAGGTTCATTTGGACCCAATCCGGGTTCATTTGGACCCAATCCGGGTTCGTTCGGACCCAATCCAGATTTGTTTGGACCTAATCTGGGTTCGTTTGGACCCAATTCGGGTTTGTTGGAACCCAATCTGGGTTCGTTGGAATCAATGTCAGGTTAATTTGAACCACTTCGGGTTCCTTGAACCCACGTTGGGTTAATTTGAACTTACTTAACCTATGTCGGGTTCATTTGAACCCACTTTGGCTTTATTTGAATATAAATTAGGCTTAATTACAAACTAAGCTCTAAAAGCTAGGCCTAAGAATTAGCAAAAAATTAGAAACTTGAACCCAAGGCAATGCCTGGGTCTTAAAAACTAGTGTGCTTTACTAATACTAACTTATGACTATATAATTTATGTGCTTTACTAATACTAACTTATAACTCAATTATTATACTTCCCAATAATTATGATTATATAACTTATGCGCTTTATTGCTCTTTCATTTATTACAATTCAATGACTTCATAATTAATGCAACGGCAAAATTCCGAGGCCCCGGGCTTGATCACGGTATCAAATCATGGTTATCACGAACATGGATCACGGTTCGATCACGGGCTCTGGGTAAGGCTTGGTTTGTTACATGGTTTGTTACACCATCTCCCCTTCTAAAATCAGTCCCACCTAGTTCTTCTATAGGTTGTCACCCTTTTTTTTTTGCATTGTAGGCCTGGGTTTAGTAGGATATTGCTAGTGGAAGAGTTTAATAGCATTCTGCGCATGGATGACATTTTCGACTAGCTCCCAAGAATGTTCATTTATATCACAGCCTTTCTATGCAACCAGGTAGTATAATTTTTTCTGAGACATTTTTGAATCTAATATGGCATCAACTTCATATTTACTTTCTCCTTCCACGATTACAGGCGGGGGAGGCTCCACGACCCTCCCTGGGAAAGTATTAGCAAAGTAGGGTTCTAAGAGAGAAACATAAAAGGCGTTGTGAATCTTGAGTGCAGGAAGTAAATTCAAGCGGTATATTACTGGGTTAATCTCTTTGAAGTTAGTGTAAGGCCCTAATTTTTTGTAGTCCAATTTGTCTGATGGACAATTAGTATGAATATTCTGACACAGAAGCCAAACCTTGTCACCTTTTCTAATTTACAGGGCTGGGCGATGGTATTTATCTGTGTTTTCTTTATAGCATTTCTGTGCAGATTTAAGTTCTGTACTAAGCGTTGATTTTATTTGTTGCAATTCCTTAGCTTTGCTTTCTGCTGATGGGACTGAAGAATGGTACGGTATCTGCAAGTCAAAGTGTGGGTGAAACCCGTAATTTGTAAAAAACGATGTGGTTTTCGTAGAGGAATGGAATGAATTATTATAAGCGAACTTGGCCAAAGGAAGTAAATCTGCCCAATTGTCTTGGTGGTAGTTGATTGTACACTGCAAATATTGTTCTAATACTTGGTTGACATGCTCACTTTGTCCATCCGACTGAGGATGGTATGCTGAAGAAAGGTTGGTTTTGGTTTCTAATAGGTTGAACATGTGTTTCCAGAATTTGGAGGCAAATTGGGGCCCTCTGTCAGAGACTATATCCTCTGGAACTTCATAGAGATGAATCACCTCTCTAAAAATTAATTGTGCTGACTGTTCTGCACTTATACTTTTCCTACAGGCTATAAAATATGCCATCTTAGACAACTGATCCACGACTACTAAAATAGAGTCAAATCCCAAAGATATAGGTAGATCTGTAATAAATCCATGGTGATGAATTGCCATTGTTTGGTAAGTATAGACAAAGGCCTAGGTGTCGCTGTCTGGTGGTTTTAGTTCTTGCGCAAGCATCACAGGATTTGATATAGTCCTTTATAAAAGATCTAAGCTTCAGTCACCAATAATCTCATAATACAAGTTCTACAGTTTTGGCCACCTCAAAATGCCCTGCTACTATTGAATCGTGTCTCGTCTATAACACTTCTAATTTTTCTGGAATTCCTGGTACATATAATAACCCTTCTTTAAACAAAAGCTCATCCTTGTACTGGAACTTATGGTAATCAGAACGTTTTGTTGAAATGTCATCTGTAGAATTTGTTAACTGATTAATGACATCCTGAGCCAGAGAATCTACTACAATCTGAGTCCAAATGCGATCTCTCAAAACTGTATCCACCGGGGTCACAAACGTGGTATTTATACAAAAATCGCCAGCTTTTAATAATATGGAATGTTGTTGAGTTACTATTTCATCACGGTCAAGGGGCTGGTAATCTGTTCTTCATGACAGGGCATCTGACTTCCCTTGCTTGTTTCCCGGCCAGAAAATAATTTTGAAATCGTAATTAGAAAGGAAAAGGGACCAACGGGCTTGTTGACGGCTGAGGTTTTTGGCAGTGGTAAAGTATTCTAGATTTTTATAGTCACAGTAAATAATAATAATATGCTGTGCTCCTTCTAGGTAATGACACCAACATTTAAGTGCTGTTATAATGGCAAGCAATTTTTTGTCATGAACATCATAGTTAATTTCTGTTAGTGTAAGCTTCCGGGAGTGGTAGGCGACAGGATAAAGTGTACCCTCAGTTTGGTACTGGGACAAAATTGTACCGAGGGCATAATCTGAAGTATCTGTCTCCAAATAATAAGGTTTAGGAGGATTGGCTAGGACCAAAATTGGGGCGGAAGTAAAAGCCTTTTTTAGGAAATCAAACACTTGTTGAGCTAAGGGAGGCCAACAAAATTTTGTTGGTGTTTTTCCCAATTTCTGAGTTAAATTAGTCAAAGGGTAGCTAATTGAGCATAGCTCTTGATAAAATGCCGATAGTAATTGGCAAAGCCCAGAAAATGCTGTACTTCTTGAGTTGTAGTTGGGACAGGCCAAGTGAGGAGACTTTTAACCTTGTTTGGGTCCATCTGGATTCCTTGAGGGGTGATACAGTAACCTAGGAAGTTTACACATTCTTTGTCAAACTCGTATTTCTCTAACTTAGCAAATAAGCCATGCTTACGCAGGCATTCTAACACCAATTGGACATGCTGATCATGCTCTATTTGACTATGCAAATATACTAAAACATCGTCTAGGTAGATTATGACAAAGCAATCCAGAAAATCATGGAAAATGTCATTTATAAGATGTTAAAAAACTGCTGGTATGTTGGTGAGGCCAAAAGGCATTACCAAATATTCAAAGTGTCCATATTGAGTATGAAACACTGTTTTCTACTCATCCCCGGGCTTAATGTGAACTAGGTTATAAGTACCTCTGAGATTTATTTTAGTGAAGACTTTAGCCAAAGCAAGTCGGTTCAGCAATTCAGATATGAGGGTAGCGGGTACCAGTTCTTAACCGTGATTTGGTTCAATCTTCTGTAATCAACGCACATGCGTAGGGTTTCATCTTTTTTCTTAACAAAGAGAATGGGTGCCCCAGCCGGGGAAGTCGAGTGTCTAATAAATCCTTTATCTAAATTTTTTTCAATGTAATTTTTTAGTACTTCGAGCTCTTGTGAAGACAGTTCATAAATAGGCCCCAAGATGGTTGTTTATCAGGGAGCAAATTGATAGCACAATTATATTGTTGATTTTCAGACAATTTGTTAGCTTCCTTCTTACTGAAAATATCACTAAACTCATAATATTTTTTAGGAAGGGCAATTGCAGAAGATACTGGGCCTAAACTAACCATTGAAGCACTAATAATCTGAACCATAAAAAGCTGAGCCCCAGACGTTGAGGAGGTCTCGTATGGCAATGAGCTTGGAACATGAGTTTTGCAAATCAGATCAGGAAAAGTAATAGAGCGATCCTGCCAGTTGATTGTGGGGTTGTGAAAAGCCAACCAGGGCAAATCTAAAATCATTTTGTAGTGAGGTGAAGGAATAAGGCTAAAAGATATTTTCTCATAATGGTTTTGAAAATGTAAGAGTAATGGTTCTGTTTCGTGCATAACTGATTTGGAGGAAAGTTCCTAACCATCAATAACTTTGACAGATAAAGAAGTTTGTTTTTCAAATATGGGTAAATTATATTCTTGAGCTAAAGCAAGGTCCAAGAAACATGCTGAAGCACCTAAGTCGACTAATGCATGGATTTTTACTTGTGATATATTAGGCAAATGTAAGTATACTTCTGGGGTAAGAGGGTTGTGGGGCTAATAGATGTTGTTTCCCTAGGGGTAAATTAAGATTTTGATCCAGCTGAAGCCCCCTTACTGCAACTGGGTTAATTTTTTTTCTGACAACTCCTCTGAGACTACAGCATTGATTCTTGATGGCTAATTACATTTCTCAGAGCAGTGTTTAGTAATGTGTCCTAGTTCACCACAGTATAGACAGAGATTATTTGTATGGCGGCGTTGTTTCTCTGCTTCAGACAAGGGCTTGAACCTAATGGCATCTAGTTGCATAGAGTCCTCGGTAGGTGGAGTTGGGCTATTCACAATTTGGGGCTGAAAATTTTTTGTAGGTGAGTCCCACTGACGTTCCTGCTTTTATTCAAAAATCTGATTGTCACACCTAACAGCCTTAGAAATTGCATCATGCAAAGAGGTAGGGTCCTCCAAGGTTAACAATAAATTTTTCACTTTGTTTCAGAGCCCTGTCTGAAATTGGTCAATTAAGACTGCTTCGCCCCAGTTTAGGTCACCTGATATTTGTCTAAATTCGGAGGCATAGCTAGAAGCTGCTCTTGATCCTTGGATGAGTTTCTTATTTTATTTGTAGCAGTCCTGGACTTGTCTGCATCGCCAAAAGTTTCTTCAAATTCTCTAAAAAAAGTATTAAAATTTTTAAGCAGTTCAGATTGGTTCTTAAGTAGAGGAGAAAACTAGGCCAAGGCAGGCCCCGACAACAAGCTGCCAAGCAGGCCTACTTGAGTTTGATTATCAGGATAGCAAGTAGGTTGTATTTATATTACAAGGCAAATTTGATTTAAAAAGCCTCAGAAGTTACTTCTTGTATCATCAAATTTTTTCAGAAGGCTTACTTTAGGTTCTCTAGACTGAAAATTAGTGCCTTCTTGGAACTAAAACTTGTTGAGAGTATTTCGAAGTTCTGTATTTTCTTGGTGAATTATTTGATAATCCAGTCAGACTTGATTCAGAGCTGCCAATATGGCATTGAGGTTAGATACACATTGAGGTCAGGTTGGTCTTTCGTTGCAGTTTTACTAAAAAAAAAAAATTATGCTTCTTTCAAAAATATATATATAGAAAGTTCAAGGCATAGTTATAGACAAGGAGACGTAAGATGGTAGATGAGTTAATCAGGAGCGAAAATTTTTTTTTTTTTTTTTTAAGAAATTAATTGATTAAGATATAACAGTTATATTAGAGCGTAAATAAAGGAGACAAGGCTCAAATTGGTGAATGAAAATGCCGAAGTGTCGATAGTTATTTGAATTTAGTAGAGAATGATTTTGGAGTTGTCTTTTAGAAAACAAGATTCTAGGATTTAAGATAGTCTGTTCAAACTATAACAAACCGAATTCAGTTACTAAGAGCAGATTTTAAAAGCAAAGGGTTTTATTGTATTGAACAGACTGACTATTACAATGAGGGTTTGTATCACTTTAAATACTAACTCTTCGTTATTAACAACACGATTACTAATACAGGATTTTTCGGCCTATTTCGTTTTTTTAACCAATCAAATTTGTCTAAAATACCAATCAAATTCATGTTTCAATCAAATTAGTATATTTTGATCTATCGTTAATAACTCGTTATCTAGTGGTCCAAATTTGATGAATTAGTACCATTCGATTCCTCTCTATTAGAGAATTCGAATGGTACTAATTTCATCAAATTTGGACCACTAGATAACGAGCTATTAACGATAGATCAAAATATACTAATTTGATTGAAACACGAATTTGATTGGTTAAAAAAACGAAATAGGTCAAAAAATCCTGTACTAGCTTATGACTATATAATTTATGCACTTTACTAATACTAACTTATAACTATATAATTTATACACTTTACTAATACTAACTTATGACTCAATTATTATGCTTCCTGTTAATTATGACTATATAACTTATGCGCTTTATTGCTCTTTCATTTATTACAATTCGATGACTTCATAATTAATGCAACAGCAAAATTCTAAGGTCCTGGGCTTGATCACGGTATCGAATCGTAGTTATTATGGGTATAAATCATGGTTTGATCATGGGCTCTGGGTAAGGCTTGGTTTGTAACATGGTTCATTACAGTGATTAGCTTCTTTTTTCAATCACATGATTACCATAACTACACAAGTAGGGATATTAAACAACTCGGTTTAGTCAGTTTTCAAGTTAGTTATAGTCAAT